ATATATATATATATATATATATATATATATATATAGTTTTGCACAATCACTTCATTCCTCTGAAACTTGAAGGAATAGCAGCAGCACAGAAATGAAATACTGGAGAACTTGAGGAACAAAAAAATAATAAGAAAGATGACGATTAGCACGGCGAAAACATAAAAATTGTTGTTGGTTGACTGGAATGGAGGACAAAAAAATATTAAAGACAAAATACGATCACAGTGTGCAACGGTGTTTGGATGCGCTCATTTCTTAACTTCATTAGTCAATATCTGGAACAATTCCTTGTCTGCAAGACACCCATCCACAAATTCCTTCAAAGTCAACTCCTGAAACAACAGGAAAATTAAAACATTTATAAGAATTCAGCAAAAAAGGATATACAAGTTTTTGCCCAATTTCTGTTATCCAACAGATATTACTAATACCTATTCGAATTTTAATAATATACAAGCAATGCAAAAAGAATTAGAAGATTAAAAAAACACCTAAATAACGACGTGAGAAAAAAAAATTAATGTTTGTAACAAAGTAATAATCGAGGTTTTAATGACTTGGAAACGGCAAGTAAGCTAACGTCCCAGAAATACTTCAAAATGCTAAAACACAACAAGAATAGGAAGAAAGAGCAGGATAGAACAACATTTAGTCTGCAATAACGAACAAAACCAAATAACATTTAAAAGCATTACTAACAACAAATCAAACCCTTTTTGCTAAAATTGCTTATACAATTTCAGCATCAGTAGACAGCGATTCGAAATAAACCACTCAAGAATATGATAAGAAAATCAGAAATTCTCAGGAATAGTGATAAACTCTTGAACGTAATCCATGAAGAAAATATTGAAAACGATAGATAGCTTTAAAAGAAAAAGAAAATTCAAAAAATTTTGAAAATACCAGCAGGGATTTTAAAAAGATTGATTTTTGAAAACGAATTTAGTTTTGTTTCAATCAACGAAAACATCGTCTACATAAAAAGCAAAAAAAGAAAAAAAAAATGAAAGAAAAATGAAAAAATACACCACCTTATCGTTATTAACATCCATCTTTTCAAAAATCATCTTCGCTCTCTTTCTTGGCGAGTCATCTGCCGATTTTGTTACTTCAGGTCCAAGCATTTCATAGATTGCCTGAAAGTCTTTCACTTAATCCAACCACACCAACAGACATATTTTAACTCTTCTCAGAAAAAAAAAACTACTTTTGAAATGTTGAGACGAGTGAAGGACTCTCTGTTGAATCGAAGTGGAAAAAAAATGAAAGTAAAAAATTAAGAAAATTTCCTCAACTCTCAACATCCAAAGTATGACAAAAATATAGGTTAAAAATGTAAGAAAAAATAATTTTTTTTGAAATTTCTTGTAAAATGACAAATTTTAAAATTTAAATATACAACATTATGGCTAATGCAAAAAAAAAAAAAATGAAAAAAAGCAATTCCTACGAATAGAGAACAGACTAGTAATTCAAATCAGAAAATCGACAA